TGTAAAGCTTTCATTTCTACAGGCAATTATTTACACAGACCAAATGTATTTCTTGCAGGAAAACCGTTCATGTCTTTTTACACAAGTATCTCTTTGCAGATGAGAACATGTAATTTGTAGACACGGCTTGAATATTTGCTTTCAAAAACCATCCTTAAAAGACAGTGGCAGATGCAGAATCTAGGTTAGGATCATAAATCTACAGCAAGTGAAATATGTGAACCAGTAATAAAAAGGCTTAACAATTCAGTGTTGTTTTCCAGTGAAACGCAATGGCTAACGTTTGCAGAAAGGTGGTTGCTGTATGGTAGGCACAAGCTCTGCCAAGACATTTGTGACTGCACTTGCACCTGAACTGATGCAGAACTTCAAGCAGACTGAGATTTAGAGTTACCAACACACTAAAAATGAATAGGCATTTTTTATACTGCATGGGGGTGTGCAAGGGACACACATGCTTGTCCTGAGGCACAGCCTGACCTTTTCTGAAAATGCTCCCTCATATACTTATAAACAATTTCTTTGTAAGTGGATAAAAGCCACTCATGTGGATCAGTATGCTCAGGAGTCTCTGACCTGCAATACAAAAGTAATACATGACAGTGGAGCTGGAAAGGAAAACAAGACAGCAGTCACTGTGAAAGAATACTGGAACTATAGAGTTGAACTATGTGAGGTGGAAAGAATGATAATGAGGGATTAAGAAAAGCTGCAATTCCAAAATAGATGTGACAGCAGACATTTAAAAAAGTTGGAGACAGGGGAACTGAAAAGTATAATTACAAGAATGAGAGATGATGTTTTGACCAGAAATACAACATGCATATAAAAGCAATTGTCTGAACTTGATGTGCCACCAGCACTAAATTTCTTAAAAAGCAAGAATATCACTTATTAAATGACAACGAGAAATTGGAAAAAAATCTATTCATGTAGAACATGAATATAATTTTTGGCGTAAGTCCTGAATAACAAAAGTTGCCTTGCTGATGCAAGACACATCCTCTTGCAGAGAACAATCCTACCGCAAGCTTGTCCTTCCACAGGCTTGATCCATATCCGCAAAGTCCCTGGTATCCAGCCTTCAAGCAGCATTTCTGCAAGCACTGGGCAGCTGCGGGCACAACCTGTCCCCCTTGGCATTTAGACAGTGATGGCAGGATAATGCGGACACTTTACGTGCCCAGGATAACAACAGCCTGTTGGTCAGCACAGAAAGATGAGCCAATGTGGAGCTACAAGGAGCAAAGCTCCGCCACGGTGGAGGCTCCGTGAAGACCTTTCTCCTACCCTCACCCAGCAGCAAGGACACGCCAGCCCAGCTTAGCTCCACTCCCTCATGTTTTTGACAGCAGTGGATATGAGATAGAAGGTTTGATCTCCCTTGTAAAGTTTCTTATTTGAAATGCCAGCTATAAATCTAAACTGATAGATATCACTCTCCTTTTATATGAGTCTCCTTTTAACCTCTCAGGCTTATAAAGGCAATAATTTGCAAAGGTTCTCATTTTATGAAACAGAGCTCCATTATAAACTTTCAGTGTTCTAATTTCTAAAATTTCATTTTTTTGCCACTAACTTTTCTGGCAGTAGAGAGAAGACACAGGTTCTCTTCATATTTTTGGGGAACATGTTTTTTTATTTTTTAGTCCCTTTTATTTAAATGACTATTCTAATAACACTGTGAGATGCAAATATTTAGAAGTCTAGTCTAAAAACCCGAGAAGTTAGTATCTTTTTCACAAGTATTTTCTATGTTTTCTGATGCAAATTATTCCCTTCACAGCTTCCTTTAGTGCCATAATACCCTTCTTAAAATGAAATGTCCAGTGCAGCACTTCAAAGAGGCTATACCATTGTCTTCAATTAAAAATGTATAAAACTATCCCCTTGTTATTATTCATCCTATTAGTTATGCATTTTTGGCTTTAACCACATCCTGAAACTTTCCACTGAGCTAGCTGCAGTCACAGGTAATATTTCCATCTCAGGTCAGTTTGTGAGAGATTAAAAAAATATTAATTTATTGCTATATTAAACGAGTAATTTCTTCAGGATTCACAGCTTTTCTCTGTAATCATTTTTTTAAAGCCAAGCTTATCTAGAATGTCCAAGCAAAGAACTCATAATAAGCAGTTAACAGCTCAGAGTAACATAGTTTATCCTGTTAAGGCATGTGTGAAGATTAACCTAGGTTACTTTTCAGGAGGCTTTTGAATGTTCATTTTTTCTTAATGTATGCATAACAGACCAGTGCCATCATGGGGAAAGATGCGTTTCTGTTATATCTGTGAAAAATGTGGCTTAGGAACTCTGTGAGTTGTATCAAACTCTTACAGGCCATGAGCCAATTTTTTTTGGAACTGCCTAGTATATTTATTCTATCAAACTGACAATTGAATGTTTGGGTGCTCAGCAGCTCTGAAAACTAAGAGCATTACTACAATACTAACAAAGATTTTGAGTAAGAAAATCTCAGTAGCTTTGATCAGCAGTTTTGATTTTGAACTGCTATTTTTGATGGTGTTTATTCTCTTGTTATATTAAAGTAAGCAAAAGTATTACATGAATATAAGCATTACATCAAAAATAGATTACTGGAATTATGATAATTCAGGAAGGAGGGGAATACATGAAAAGACTCAATAAATGCCTGAAGTCAGAGCTTCAGGAGAATTGGAAAGCATTTTCTCAATAACATTATGAGGGTGGACACAAATGAGACATGGTAAACAAGAGCTTTTCAGGAGAAGCCCAAGAGACCCAGGAGATTTACATCTGCAAGTTAAGAACTGTGCACAATGTTCTTATTTTTAAACAACTACTGCACCCCTCTTAAATTTCTGCATAAATATGTTTTTATTGCATGAACACATGCTTGAGCATGCTCTTAGTTATATATGAAGGAATACTCTTTTCAGGAATGAAGCATGCAAGCTGACCGAAAAAAGATAAAAGGCTATATATACTTTTCACAGAAAGCATCCCTGTCATTTAGGTTTATATAGCTGTCTGGCACAGTGTAGCCTATTAGGCACTTCGAAAGTAGGAGAACTATTTGATAGTGATTTTATGCAATTCCAAAAATTGTCCATGCTAGGCAGTTTTCTCCTTCTATCTATTTCACCAAAGAGAATCCCTCTCATTTTATCTAATGAAAGCACAATGAAAGAATAAAGTCACTGGTGAATTGTAAATTCATCATTTGACTCTGCATAAATACAAGTAAATTAAAAACTACAGCAAACAGAAATTGACTGTTAAGTTCTCTTTTCCCCAGCTTCTGTATACAGACATATTTTCAGCAGTGCCATTTCCAGTCTATCATAGTTGTAAACTTCTCCTTTTTACAATAAACTAGGTAAAACTATTCTTCATGGGCAAGAAGTGTATCACTGTAACTTCTGTTACAAAATCCTCTGAATATCTACCGTCTCCTTGCCTCTCTCAAGGAACCTATCTGGGGGTCATTTTTGGTCCCCAGATTGCTGGTCTCCTAACAGCTTCTTTCAGTGAGTCAGTTTAACACTAGGTGTGTGTCTGAGCTGAATTAAAGACATGTTAGAGACCTGGCACTTATGGAATGGTAAATGATCAGTGAAGCACTAAGCTCCACTGGCAGGGGAAGAAATTGCTAAAAAAGATTCCAGATTAGGGCCTCGACAATACCTCACAGTCCTATCCTTGGATCTGCATTTACCCAGGATTAGAAATTAGTTTGAAAAGGTGCTCATTTAGGGTAGAAAAAATACATGTTATATATCCCACAGAATTACAGAATGACTGAGGTTGGAAGAAACGTTTGGAAATCATCATCACAAGCTGGGTTACCCACAGCATGTGGCACAGGGTGGCATCCAGGTGGGTTTGGAAGATCTCCAGAGAAGAAGACTCCACAATCTCTCCAGGCAGCCTGTTCCAAGGCTGCGTCACCCTCACAGTGAAGAAGTTTTCCTCAAATTCAAGCAGAAATTCCTGTGATTCTCCCCTCATTGCCCTCCCTGACATTCTCCCCTGAGGTATTTTTACACATTGATACTATCTCCTCTTGGCCTTCTCTTCTTTAGACTGAACAGCTCCCTCAGCCTCTCCTTATAGGACAGATGCTCCAGTCTTCTGGTCATCTCTGTAGTTCTACACTGGAGCTTCTCTACAAGCTCCACGTCCCTCTTGTTCTGGGGAGCCCAGAACTGCACCCAATACTCCAGATGTGGCCTCACCAGGGCTGAGCAGAGGGGCAGGATCCCCTCCTTTGGCCCGCTGGCAACGCTCCTCCTGGTGCAGGCCAGGATCTCATTGGCCTTCTTGGCCATGAGGACACACTGCTGCCTCATGGTGAACTTGGTTTCTGCCAGGACACCCAGGTCCTTTTACATAGAGTGGCTCTCTAGCAGGTCACCAGCAGGCTGTACTGGCACATGAGGTTATTGCTCCCTAAATGCAGGGCTCTGCACTTCTCCTTGTTGAACTTTATAAGGCTCATCTCTGCCCAACTCTCCAGCCTGTCCAGCCCTCTGAATGGCAGTACAGCCTTCTGGCCTGTTGGGCACTCCTCCCAGCTTTGTATTGTCAGCAAACTCGCTGAGAGGGTGCTCAGAAGCCTGTCCCAAGGAACCTGTCCTCTTTTCCACATTCTACCTACTTCCTTTTTCTGTCTGAGTTTTGCCAGGAGCTCCTTGCTCATCCATGCAGTCTCCTGCCATCTTTGTCTGACTTTTTACTCATAGGGATGCACCAGTCTTGAGCTTGGAGGAAGTGATGCTTGAATACTAACCAGCTCTCTTGATGCACCTTCCTTCTAGGGGATCTAGTCCATGGGATTCCTCCTGAAGAGACCAAACTTTGCCTTCCTGAAGTCCAGGGTTGCAATCCATCTTATTGCCCTGCTTTCCCCTCACTGGATCCTGAACTCCACCATCTCATGATCACTGCAGCCAAGGCTATCTCAACCTCCACATCTCCAGCCACCCCTTCCTTATTTGTTGTGCACCTCTCCTCACTGGCTCCTCCACCACCTGTGTCAAAAAGTTACCAGTGCTCTCCAGGAATCTCCAGGACTGTCCTTGCCTAGCTGTGTTGTCTTTCCTGCAGATACCAGGGTGGTTAAAGTCTCCATGAGATGCAGATTGTGAAGCTACTTCCAGCTGTCTGTAGGCGGCCTCATGGCCTTTCTCTTCCTGACCAGATGGCCTACAGTAAACACCTACAAATGTGTCCTCCATGTTAGCCTGTCCTTTAACTGTTACCCCTAAGCTCTCCACCCACCCTGGGCAAAGACCAATTCCACATTCCAGTTGCTCTCTCACATAAAGAGCAATTCCCCCACCTGGCCTGTTTACTCAAGTAGCCATCCCTGATAGCACTCCAGGCACATCCCTGTCCAATCCCACAACACCCTCTCTCGTTTCAAGATTTGTCTGTTTTTAATAGCTGCCTACTAGCTTGCATAGAATAAATTAATGATCTGCTATCTGCCAGTAGTAGAAAGATTTCTTAATCATGATTTACATTAATTATCTCTAAGCTGAGTACATTTATGCAGTAAATTCTATTAAACTGGAACATAAATGTTTTGCCTCTAAAATGTTTATCCAGGGAAATTTCTCATTGTTAACTACTTGCTCAGCTCCATGGAGCATGACTTAACCTCTGAGGCAAGAACTAGGTTTAAAAACTCTATCCCACATCAGCAATAGAATTAAATGTGTTACTGCTCAGCACTGTAACAGTTTTTGGCTATCATCTAGCCACTTAATGTAATATCTAACCTTCAGCTAGGGGGTTACAACTAGAATACATGGGTAGCGTTAGTCATCTATCTGGGAAATTACAGTAACAACAACACTACATGGGGACCTCATCTAGCCAGCAGACAACTGCATCTGGAGGAACTACAGCATTTTATAGAAGTAAATGCCACCAGCCAGTTAACAGGACATAGACAACTTTGCACCTCTGCCTGGACACAAGAAGTATTCCCACTCCTCTCCATACATAGTTGGGATGGGAAAGGGAGGACACAGCAAGGCCTATGCCAGGTTTGCTGAGTCAACACACACTTCCAAGATGCAGAACAATTAGGTTTAGCATATTCCTTTTCTTGAGGAGTTTCAATGTGCATCTTTTAGCTGAAAGTTCTAGTCAGTCACCTAGAGGGTTTTTTGAACTGGGGCTCTTAAGCACTCATTAAGAATAGAGGCTGAAATACAGATGCCCAAGTCCCTAGTGATTCCTTCAGCCATTCGTCTGTAAAGCTTTGCAGTGGCTCTTTAAATATTCAGTCTACCAGCAAGAGTGATTCGGAAAACCTTACCTATATTCTAGGAATTACAGAATTCAGCTCAGAGGGAGGAGAGGCAGAATTAAGATTTTATCCTATTGACAATACCCAGAGCATGGTCTTACAGCCACGCCAAAGCACAGGCTAAAAACCTTATTTAACAAGTGAACCTGAGGGAACAGGTAGAAGCACCTCTATTTTGAAGAGCGAGTGAAGAAGAGCAATGATACAGTTAGTGAGCTACAAAGATGCCTACTGGAGTGGGCTCGGGATGGTGAGAGATATTCAAGGAATATTCAGAATCAATTGCTTTGTTTTGAGCAGACACTGACATAAACTGGGTACTTAACTGCTTAACATATGCGAGATTTAAGTCCTAGGTATCCCCAAAATGAAGTCCCTCAAGAACAAAACTGCTAGAAGAAAGAGCATCTGCATGATCAAGTAGTAGATGTGATGGAAGATTTGAAGCCTCAAATCCCAACCTTGTATTTTCTTAAAATTCCACAATAAAGAAGGGATCCAAACTGACTTTTCGAATACTTATCTCATATTGATTTATCAGTAAAGAAGAATAAAGGACAAACAAATAAAGACAGGGCAAATAAAACAAATAAATCAGGATTTACCCAGGCATTTTGTGATGCAAGGTGAACCAGACAAATTGCTAGTTCCAGAATATATAACCTCTTATTTAAAACTGCATCAACATCAGAAAACTGGAAAATGGCCAAGATTTGGGAAAGATTTGTGATACTATGGATCAGTAAAGCTGATCTCTGAACTGTGAAAATGAGTAAAAACTACAGTAAAATAAGAAGGAACACACACATGGATGATCATAATTTTGGGGAATAATGAACATCTTTTTTTTCTTCCCTTTGAGGAGGGGCCATATTTAAAAGTGTGATGGATTTCCTTGAAGAAATCAACGCAAGTATTTTAACAAGTGAGAATCATTTGATACATTTTACTTGGATTCTAAAAAGACGTTTAACTATGACCCTGAAATCAAGTTCTATTTGCAGTAAATCATTACTTTTTTTTTTCTCCGTTGTACCGTATGATTTTTCTTAAGGTCTAAAATAGACTATTATGTAGCAAGATCACGGCACTGAAATATATTAAATCATTTTGTTTTTTGGTACTGAATGAGACTTACTTTATCAAACTCCCCATTTCTAATAGGATATTTAATTTTCTTCCCTTAGCATATGAGCTGTAAGAATATGTTTGTAAGTCCTAAGATGATGCATAGCAGCACCGGTAATGTTATATGCTCTTCCACAAAGGCCAGTGGAAGTAAATGAAATAAAGGAAAATAGTAGCTGAATATGAGTAAACTTTGCAATAAAATGCAATGTACCTTAATTTTGCCAATTTGGAGAGTAAGAGTGTGAATTCCATAGCAGGAGTACCTGTTCAAAGGTGGAAATGTAGCTGCACAATCACAGCAATCAAGTTCAGTCAGGGGAGGAAGAGAGTGATTCCTCCAACAAACTCTTCAGGAGACTTAAATTAATCCTGGAAAAGAGCTTTTTTTGACTCTGACTTTAGAGGAAGATTATTCACATACCTGAATTAACAGAGCAAGAAGATTTTAAAGTGGAAACTATACAGGCCTTTTTTAAAAGGGATAGTTTCTCTGCTGTCCTATGTGCATATGGCAGCAATAGCTTGGGTTTTATACTTACTAATCTATACGCAATTGCAGTCTGACTGAATTTTTAAAAAATGGAAATATGATCCTTGAGTCAGTTTTCCATTGATAGCTCGTCAATACTTGTCATGCAACATTTTCCTTCATCTTTCCAAAAAGACTCTTACCCCAACATTTGTTTGTAATTGGCAGGAGGGGAGGAAAGGGGGGCAAGGAGGAGGAAGGAAATTTCAGATTTTAGGATTTTTTTTCCTTTTCCATGGCACTCCTTCATTTCCTCAGTAAAGTGGATTTGAGAGGAAGCTTTAGTCCACAGTACTGATTTCAATTATATGAACGGGAAAGATAAGAGTGGGATTATTGAAAGAGAAAGAGCAAAAAATGAAACAGTGCTGAGAAACGCTGATCATACTAAAAGAGAAGCACCTCTGTAGTGGAGATATTTGGTTAATGAAAGATAAGCCAAATCCACTTTATATATTAATTTCTCCTTTCATCTAACAGAGACAGCAGTAGCAATCTACACAAAAATAATTGTACCTATCTTGTAGCCATGCAAGTCTAAGGCAAACAAGGAAAATATGAAGAAAGTGAGCTTCACCAGCATTTGCAGTTGGACTATTTATATCCAGTCTATAAATATATAGGACATTGGTTCATACTCCCTTTGTTTTATTCTACTCCCTCCCGTGGCTAAGCCAAAGACCAAAAAAAAAAAAAAAAAAAAAACGGATCTATTTTAGTTTTAGTTATAGCTTTTGCAGCACTCAATATTGCTGAAATGACAGCTTTCTACTTCAGTATTATTCTACATAATATTTGTACTTTGCAGATAAATTCTGTACAAAAGCTTTGATTTTAATTTGGAGGGAGAAACGGGAAGTTACTGAAGCATGAGAGAACTAGATAATCCTAGATCTCTTCACCACAAGAACTGCATTGACAGTATGTTTTCTGATCCATTATATATGTATAACCGTACCTTATGTTCATTGCTCAATTCATTAGTCTACATCTTGACATATGTAGCATTCATCTATACAGAAGCTTTACCTAAAGAACCCAATCTTTCTACATCTTTTTTCTTTTTTTCAGAAATTGCTTTAAAATTTGGCTGCCTTATTTTCTGGCTTGCCTCTTTAAAAAGGCCTGAAATTCTGAAAGTGCTGAGAATCTAGTCTCAAATATTAGGCCCTTTACATGTTTGAACACTCTAAAAGCAGGCAAAATCTATGCAGGCTTATAAAACTCTTGTTTTACTTCCCTTGTCCCATGTAAGGGACATGTTGTTGCAGTGAAATTGCAGTTGTAATACCTTTCTCTTATTAAAATTCCCTATCAGAATTATGTTTAAGTCTACCATTTAGCCTTCTGTTTTCTGAAGAATACAAGTCAAATTCCTCACCTCAAAAATCAAATATTCAGCAAAAAAGGATCAAGTGCCTACTGGAGTAAACGAAAAATATTAATTTCAATGGCTGCTGAGTCAGACATCTATTTATAGTAATATTAGCTGCTGTACCTTCTCTGTAACTGTTACATTTAGCATATTTTATCATAAAACAACTTGCCATCACAGTGCTGAGCATTGCAAAAATCTAGCTTGAGGACAGTAGAATCCAGCCACCTAGGCTCCCTGTGCAAGAGAAAGACAGATTTCCAAGAGGATCCGCAAGACCTAGCTAGTAGGAAAACACAAGCATACAAAGGTACCTTATTTGTGGCCCATCTCTCATATTAGTAAGTATCACATCTGCAATATCTCCGCAATTCGGATTCTAAGCCTGAAATCACTCTTGAACACAGACATACATGACATAAAAATAAAAAAAAATAATAAAAAAAGAAGGCAAAAACTCATCTCCTATTTTGTGGAAGATCTCTCAAACTAGTATTTTACTATTTCTTTCTCTCACTTCTGCCGTGGTATTGAAAAAAGTATCTAATGAAGGAGGAAACGAGCACAACTGTCCAGCCTACTGAATGTGTACAGCATTCAGTTAGATATATTGGTATTTATCCTGTATAAGTCCAGAAGCATCTTCTCTGTCAGAATCTACCTTTATCTCCCATGTGACTAATCCTTAATAACAAATAAAAGATAAAATATCAGTGGTTCATTTGAATTCTCTTACTCATAACTTATCAGCAAAAGCTTTAGGGTTTGTAAGAATATACTTGCTGAATTCAAATGAGATGACAAACAGCATCAATGATTCTGTCTTTGATGATGTAATATCTCCACAGAGCTGAATGGTAAAGCATTATGTGTATTTGCCTAT